GCTCTCCAACAGTGACCATTCCATGTAACTTGACAATGTTAGGATGATGAAACTGACCCATAATGGCTGCCTCTTGAAGAAACTTGACCTTATCTTGCTCCTCGGAACTATTCTTTAATGTTTTAATGGCAACTGGTTTTGAAAACCACGTTCCTTCATAGACAGTACCAAACTCACCAGATCCTAACTCATTACTAATTCTATTATTGTTGAATGATAATAATAATTATCTTATTTTTGAAATACTTCATACTTTATATCATTTCCTTTTAGTTGTTTGTAACCCTTTGACTCCATTTGCTGATATATACTGCTAGTGTCATCACCAGGTGCCCAGTAATGTGGCTCTTCATTGCTTTTGGCTGATGGCAAGGCTGATTGATTCTATCATTATGTATACAAATTTCATTCCCACAACTAAAATTACTTACATTTAATTCATCATAAATATTGATTTGATCATCTGGTAAATGTCCTTCAACTTTTATATCCTGCATAAAATGTTAGTTTGATGATTTACATGTCATATTTGATTAAAGTTAAAGCTATAAATACGTATCAAAATTTGTAAAAGATAAGGTTAAAGCTTTACATAGTAAATTTTATTTGGTGAAACTAAATTAATTCACATAACAACACTATATTGATTTATTTACATCGACTGGTGAGGACTTCTTGTCTGTTATTAGCGTTTCATATGCAGTTTCTACTGCTGCTGCTTCAAATGACTAGATGAGTGGATATAGATACATGGCATGAATTCAATAAAATTAATTTCTAACCTTATCACCATAAAGTGGATTAGAAATAGTAGATGTTTTCTGCTGCTATAAAAACATGCAAGTAAAAAAGAAGCATGGTCATGTCTAACCATATTAGTATCACTGTAAAGTGGGTTAGAAACAGTAGATCCTCTCTGCTGTTATAAAGACATACATGTAAAAAAAGAAGTATTGTTCAGCTTACTGGGACATCGGGTGCTGTTTCATAGTGATCATAAGTCACAGGCCCTGATAATTTGTCTACATCATCATACACCACATTGTTAATAGTATAACCTCCCTCACTACGTAATGTACCTAATAAAGAAAGACAGTTTACATACCAGCACCATAAATGGAGCATGTTAAATTGTATATGGGATGTGAGTGTTTTTTTACTTGATGCGCTAAATGATGCTGTAAGCAATGTCACACGGTCTGTGTAGCGTTTCTTCCTCTTCTTCATAACAAGCAATAAGACAATAATGATACCCACACTGGTGGCTATAAATAGCACTAATATACTAATGACTACAGCAATCACTGTAGAAGCACCACTGCCAGCTGAAGGGTTTGAGATCACTGAAGGACTTGCGGTAGGAGATGAAGTTACAGCGTGAGAAGAACTAGTTATGCTATCAGTTGAACTACTAGAAGGAGTAGTAGCCCCAGTGATAACAGATGAACTGCTAGAAGCAGTAGATCCAGTTGAAGTTGCAGATACAGTATTAGGAGGAATAGTAGCTGATGAACTGTTAGGAGGAGTACTAGTCATCAAAGAGGTACTGCTAGGGGCAGAAGTAGTGACTGATGTTGGAGTGGTGTCAGTCATGGACAAACTGCTAGAAGGAGTATTAGTCATCATAGAGGTACTGCTAGGGGCAGAGGTAGTAACTGATGTTGGAGTGGTGTCAGTCATGGACAAACTGCTAGAAGGAGTATTAGTCATCATAGAGGTACTGCTAAAGGCAGAAGTAGCGACTGATGTTGAAGTGGTATCAGTCATAGACGAACTGCTAGAATGAGTATTAGTCATCACAGAAGTACTGCTAGGGGCAGTACTAGTTGCAGTCGTAGCAATAACTGAGGAGTCACTGGGAGCAGTAGTAATGATCACTGTTGAACTAGTAACTAGAGTAGTATCAAATGAACTGCTAGAATAAGTAAGTGACAAAAGTAATGAATTAAAATCATCACTTCTACTGATACTAGATGAGATACTAGGAGGAGTATCAGTGGTCACAGATGAACTAGGAGTGGCAGTTACCAGTACAGATGAAGTACTACTGAGAGTGATGGACACCACTGTAGATGATAATATGGTATTATCAGTAGTGCTAATAGTAGCTGCGGTAAGTGCTGTAGAGGTTATCATTACAAAAGTTGTACTAATGACTGGACTTGTACTTGTTGATGAAGTAACACTAGATGCCACAGAGACTACATATGTAAAATTACAATAAATAAATTATCAATAACTTACTTGATACTTCTACAGTGACTAATGGGAAATCATTATTTGTGTCTGTTACAAGTGCTTGAGTTATTGTTGAAGAAGGATCAGCAACATTACCACCGACTCGTTCATTAAGTGGTCCATTCCTTACCTGCTCATAAAGGTCAAAAAGTCTTTGAGTTGATTGAGGACTATGAACACCAAATATGTCTCCTTCCTGGAACTGCAGTGGAGTCTGAGGAATAAACTCATAGAGATTAGTACCAATCATTGTATTAGCATTAACTAAACTAGATCCTATTTTATTGTAATTATTGGGACCCAGTTGACGCCATATTTGGAGCTCAGGTAAATCATTTCTGTTATTGCCTGAAACTGGCTCTCCTCCATATATCCATTTAGTGAGGGATCCATTACATGAAAACACAATTTCAGGATATAAATACTGCCTTCTCTGATCAATATCTCCACTACTTTGGATTGTTAGAAAATTATTTCTAATAACTGAGGGAGTGATTGAATTGGCACTGTTAACACAGTATCCATCTAATGATAGTAAAATAACTCAATGATACAGTGAGTGTGTGTCTTACCTGTTACTGGATATACTAATATCAACTGATTTGTGATTGGAGAGCTACCTAAATCAATTTGATCTGGACTAATGGATATTTCTGAACTGCTACGGAAACGGATTCCAGATACATCTTCAGTGTAATGGACTCGGACAACACTCTCTTCCTC